CCTAACGATATCCCTTCCCGCCTTTTCAAACCACTTCCTACTCCCCAGTGCAGCTACCGTCCTCTCCTCTCTATTCCATGCCTCAAACATCTCCCTGTACGTCCCTTGTATTCTTCCCAGCTCAGTCATGTACACTTGCCTCTCCTCTTCGTACCACGGACATTCCGCGACTACATGAACACGGTCTTCGCATTCGAAGCCGCAATCACATTTGAACTTGTCGTCTTCGTCGTCTACCGTCCTATGTCTTCGTCGACGTTCTCGAAGGTCTATGTCCCTGGTCCTGAACTTGACCTTAAGCTTTGTCCCTGCATCCATTGGTCCATGTAGGTAATCCTTGAACCCTATTCATTCTTTCAACATTCCGTACACTTCTAGACCCTCCTTATCCTTGGTTTCTTTCCTTAGATTCTGTTCTTCTCTCTCGGCACAAGCAACAGATATCTTCTCCTTGAACCCCTGTAGACCCTCCGTTTCCAGCGTTTCATCTTCGTCGATGTCTAACCCCTTCCATACGTCCTCTACAACCTTGACCCATTCCGTGGGTTGTCTACCCCTCTTTTTGTTTGCCCACTTCGCCTCCCATACTATTCTCGGCAACCTCTCCTCTCCCACCCCGCACATGCGATACTGCCATGTCAGCTTTCTTGCGTCTCTTCCCGACCGTAGGGATTGGATCCCCAATTCTGCCCTTACGGCTGCATTACTTGTGCGCTTGGAGCATCCTAGGATGATTTTCGCTGCTTTCATTTGCGCCGCCTCGAGTTCTTTCACTACCTTCTTATTTCCTTCCCATACTTCTCCGGCGTACTCTAGCGGCGGTACGATTACGCTCTTAAAAACCGCCAATTTGATGCGTGTATCGAGGTGCCGGTTTGTGAGTATTGGGTGCAGCTTCCCTGCTCGCGCTTTGCCCTTTTCCGCTACCTTGGACATGTGTGCATTCCACGAGCAGTCGTTTGCGATGTCTACTCCGAGGTATGTGTACTGGTCCACTACTGCAATCTCCTCGATCCCCCACTTCCATCTATGTTCTACTGGTTCCTCCCTGTCCTCGTTGCATACCATGACGGCACTCTTCTTAACGTTGGCAGATAATCTCCATTTATCAGTAAACTTCTTCGCCGCGTCAATTTGTAGTTGCAGTCCCTCAGGGGTGTCCGACATACCAACAAAATCATCCGCAAACAACATTCCTGACACCGAAGTTTCCTTGTCCCCTACTTTTACTCCCTTCCGGACTGCCTCTACGACTTCCAACAGATCGTTGATGAACACCCGGAACAATGTTGGGGACAGCGTGCAACCTTGTGGGACCCCCTGCTCAATGTCGAAGAACTTAGACAGTTCTCCGTCTAGCATGACCGCCCTTTTCGTACACTCTGTCATCTTCTTCAGCACTCTCCACATTTTCCCTTTGATCCCGTACTTGGACAATTGTTTCCACAGCCCATTTCTCCATACGGTATCGTATGCCTTTTTCACGTCCAGGAAGAAGCAGTTAGTCGGCTTTCCCGCCCTCTTTCTACCTTGGATGATTCTCCCTACCGTGAATGCGTGGTCTACGCACCCCCTCTTCTGTCGGAAACCTGCCTGGCCCTCACTAATGCTACGTTCCTTCTCCAATACGCCCACTATCCTATCGTTCACCAACTTACAAAACACTTTTCCTACTGTGTTCAACAGTGTGATACCCCTGTAGTTTCCTGGGTCCGTCTTGTCTCCTTTCTTAAACAAGTTCACAACCACTCCTTCCCTCCATCTACTTGGCGCATACTCGTTTTTCCACACCCAGTTGTACAGCAGTACCATCAGCTGGATCATCCCCTTCCCCCCAAACTTCATGAACTCGTTGACTATCCCATCCGCCCCTGCTGCTTTGTGGCACTGCAACTTGTTCACACACGCCTCAACCTCGTCCTCAGTGAACTCCTTTTTTAGTTCTACTTCCCAACGTCTGCCTTCGATGTCTCTTCTTCTTTCTGGGCCCATGCGTCCACCTCCTTCTTAAACACTTGGCCAAAAGCTTCATTCTCCGAAGGCACTCCAAGTCTCTTGTAGTGTCCTGTTAGAACTTCCCTTTTTCCCTTCCCACTGCTGACTAGTCCACCGTTCACACCTCGCAAAGTTGCTACCCCTGTATCCCCCCCTTGCGCGGTCTTTTTTACCATCCCACTAATCTCTTGCTTGCCTTGAGTCAACACAACATTGAACCCCGGGCATCCCCCTTGGGACGGAGCGTTGTGCCTTCTAACGAGGAAGAAATGTGAGGGTCCGTTGCGTGGCCTTAGGCTAACGTTAAGGAGGCTCCCCTCTTACAACGAGCTCTAAGATCTTGAAGATAACTTTCTCTTGAAAGATACAAACCAGTTTTTTTTTAAAGTACTTTCGGTTTGTTTATTAGAGCTTTTGGTTTCCGACCCCCTCTTAAAACCGCAGCCGCCAACTACAGCAGTTTCATAGGTACAGTACACACCTGTGGCGGAAGGTCTTCTGTGTCGGGACCGTCACCGGTCCTCGCTCCCACCAGTAGCGAATCTCCGTACACCGTCTGCAGAGCTGTTGGTTGCCAAGATCGTGGGGATGAAGTCAAGGCTATGCACGTGCATACATCCGAACGAGGCAACCGAGAAATGCGGCCAAATGTACGCCAGGACCATAAAGAGCTATGCATAGTACACATCCGAATAAAAGACACCCACCCCAAGAAAATACATGGTCAAACATACGCCAGGACAAACAATAGCAAAACGTGGAAGGTGTCGCGGCGGCACTTTCCGAGCAACACCAAAGCATGGCGCGACGAATTTTTTTATTTCTTTTTAAGCGTTCGGTGCCGTCGAATACTTATGACGCCGTCGCTGCTGTTGAGGTGGATGTCGTCAAAGTGACTCACCTTGCATGAGCACGAACAGGATGCCGGAGACTCCCCGCGCGGCCCCGAGGTACATCTTCCCATGCCACTCGTATGTTAGCACTCCTCCGTACTCCATCCCCTCGTTATCTTCGGCCGCTGCTGCCGCGGTCGCGGCTGCCGCCGCCGTCTCCGCCAGAGCTTTCTCCTCCGCCGCCGCCGCCGCCGCCGCCGCCTTAGCTGATGCTTCTTCGTCAGCTGCTGCTGCCGCTGCGGCGGCAGCGCTTGCCGAAGCGGTGCTATCCCCGCTGGAACCACCGCCCCCGCCGCCGCCTCTCCGGCCTTTGCCGCCCCGCCGCCGCCTCCGTCCTTCGCAGCTCCTGCTGCCAGAGGAACATCAAGCTGCAACCGGTCAATCGTGGTGGCCCGTGTCCTCAGCTGTGTCTAAACATGATCTCTGACTTCTTGGTATACCACCGTGCTTTTTGAGTGTTGGGAAACAGGAGGTGCGTGTGGTAGAGGTGGTGGCCTACATAATCCCGGGTCTTTGCAGCATCTACCTCGTGAATGGGATACCTCGTGAATGGGATAACCCCGCGATCACGGACGCTCGTTCCTTTGCCTGAAGAAAGGGTAGTACGGGTCAGTAGGTGGTACGCATTCGCTGGACAAAAGGGTATCTGAACGGCTTCGAGCGCGCGGACAACAGAAACAACAACAACAACAACCCCTCCCGGGTTGCATCACACAGACAAGCTCAGCTACGGTGTCAATGGTCACACCACACATCCCCGCGCAAGCACCGAAAAACAAACACGCCTCCCAACGGCGCTCCCCCCCTCCGGGGGAGGCGGAGGAGGCTCGACCCCAACCCTTGACTTGCTCCACCCCCCCACCTTCTGCTGCCGTTCTTCTTGCCGTGATCACCGCCCCTAAAGTCCGC